TCGCTGACTCGTTATTATTGTTTAATATTATAATCACAATAACAATAATAACAATAATAATAACAACATTGTTGTCGTTGTTGTCATTATTATTATTATTATTATTATTATCACGTACTTTCCTGCTTCGAGCTCTCACGTGTTTGCAATAACGTGTTTAAGCTAATAGTGAAAAAAAAAAAAAAGCGGTGTACGCTAAAAGTATAGTTATCGGGTCTCCCATTAAAAAGGAAAAGAACCAGTCGCCAGAGAAATGGAGAATTCATTCCGTTCGCATCCGAACATGAGTGCATCATCGTACGATGCAATGATACTTGTACCCCGCTGATCTTCGTAAATTTCCCTCGTAATTCCTTTGTCACCTCGAGCTAAAGGCTCGACGGTCTTTTTTCTCTTTTCCTTCGCCAGAAACGCACGAGAATTATCTATTTCTCTTGCTTCGATATTTTATCGTTATAAAGAGTAGTAACAAGTATCACGAGAGTTAGAAAAAAAGAAGAGTTAGACTCTGCTCCTCATGATCACACGACACTTCGTTTTTAATGTCCATCGCAATGATCGACATACGCCTCGAGAGAGAGAAAGAGAGAGAAAGAGAGAGAGATCCGACAGAAAAATAAGAACTTTTTTTTTGTGCGATTACGCTGGAAGGTCACCACTTGTTTGCATCCTTTCGTTATGCGTGCCCCGATGAACTCTATGATATATAAGACATGCGATATTATTCGTTAAAACGATACGAGCAGCCAGAAGATACGACTGGAAACTGTTCTCTGCATGCAACAGTCGAGCTTGTGTTGTATAAAAATTATATACATATATATTATCATCTAGTCACATGCTTGCATAACGCACACTAAATCTAAGTATAAAGTGTACGTTTCCCATTCTTCTTCTTCTCCCCCCCCCCTTACGTTAAAATATAAATTACGAACTATCTCTAACTATAGCATATAGTTAGACGATTGCACGGGGAAAGCATGCAAACAAATGTCCCCCTTCGTCCTTATAATAATTATACAGTATTCCCTAAAAAACTTGTAAATCTCCAATTTCCTATCGTACGATCTTTGTTACAAGTCCTCACTTCACGTAGAAAATAACGGTAGAAAGGAACCCGGCAATAAGGAACAGTGCCGGAAGTCATTGGATAAAATTTGCCACGCGATTTTGTTCCGTCTTGACGTCTGTGACCATTGTTGCACAATAAACGTATCGTTCATGTATAAAAACTACAAAATATATGGAAGTTATATAATATAGGTGATACAATAAAAAATGTATCTCTATATAAAGATTATTCTTCGCAGAAAATATACTGTAAAGTTTCAAAGTGTGCTCAATATTGAAACGTAAAAATATCCTAGAAAAAATCACTAGCTTCTACATTTCCCTATCGTTTCTTATCAATCTGACAGAGTTGATAAAAAAATCATTACAATTCTTTTCTGTGGAATGCTCAGAGAGAATGATTCTATCTTAATGATAATAGACACGTGGTGAATTCATGCGACATATCAAAATCGAGCACACCTTCCTATTTTTCAACATTAAAAATATATGTAAAGTCGAAATTTACCTCGCATCTAATATTTGGAAATGTTTACTTGTGTGGGCTGACGTACAGTTTACAGAGAAAAAAATGAAATGCACTCAAAGGTAAAGCTTTAGAAAAAGGAATTTGATTTGTACTTTTCATTCCTCGATTAGCATTACGGAGTTTGAGCAGATTGCATTCCCTTATTACACGTTTCCTCTTCTGTTTATTCAGTGTGTGTATATGAGTATGTGTACTTGCGATGTTAAATCTGCTACTTTATACTCAATACAGAATTTCAAGTTGTATATTTAATATTATTTAATAGCAACACTTCTCCTTAGCCTAAGTAAGCTAAAAGTAACTGAAAAATTATATTATTGTAAGTGTATAAAAAGTAAACTTTTGATTTCAGACAACAGAACCTATTTATAATAGGTCAGTACGTTTTACAAAGTAATATTGTAAGTATTACACGAAGACGAATTTAGTTAATTTTGATTCTGTATAGATATATATATAAAAACCAATGAAAAAATATAACAAAATTAAAAATAGGCCAACATTCTTATCCTCTGAATAAGTACAGAAATGGCACAGTGTGTTCCTTCATCCGAAACAGATACCGTATCACGGAAAAATCACTTTTGCAATCAATTAAAAATTATCATTTAATTCGATACTCTACTTTACACTGTTTACCATTTCAGTACCTAAACGTAGTTCATAAGTGACAAAAGGTGTATACTTCTACTAAAAAAAAAAGAAAAAAAAACAAAAAAGCGATTAAAAAATAGCTGCATCTCTAAATTTTAATTCGCTAATGCATCATCCATAATTATGAAGAACTAATCATATTTAAATTTTAAAATATTTGAGCGTATATTATTATCATTTCAACATAATTATATCCAACTAATAAACTTTTTTGTCGAATGAAATTGCATTCACCTTTTGCCACTACAAAACTACAATGTATTTGACCACCTCCCTTCCTATTTCTAATGAATTAGAAGAGGAAGAGGGTGGTCTGCCTTGCTTGCTACTTGGTTGCCTCTGGAGGGCAATCAGGCTGATTGTTTGGATGAGCAGCAGTGAATGCTGGATGATTCTCTAAGTGACGATCTACCCTCAAAATTGTTGGGAAAGGTCGTAGATCAACAAGAAACCTTCTTGCATTAAATATCTGTGGTATTAAACAACAGTCTGCTAATGTGATTTCATCACCTACACAGTACTTTCCCGCACTGGATGACAATAATTTTTCTACGGCTGAAACATAACATTTTTGATTACATCTGCCTGATGTACAGTTAAAATTATACTTTTCCTCTTATTCCTGTTAACACACCTGTTAAACCTCTAGTAATCCAATGTTGTGCCCATTCCTTCTTACGTTCTTCTCCAACATAGATCAGTACAACTAAATTTTGCAACGGTTGAATACCGCTGGCGATAACCTCACAAATTTCCCTGACTCTTGCTCGTTTCACTGGATCTGCAGGCATTAAAGGCCGATGTGGTCTGGTTTCTTCTAAGTATTGCAAGATATTTAACTGCAATGAAAAAAACTCATACAATATGTAAATTTTCATTGCGTAACAAAAGAATATCCACAGCTGCCTGTATATACTCACAGATTCTATTAACGTGTGATTGTCAATATGAAGTGCTGGCACCTGTTCCATTGGATTAATTTCGCGGAATTCATTAGAGTGCTGTTCTCCACCGCTTTTTATCAAGCTAACCGGTTTTATGTCGTACGGGATTTCCTTTAAATTCAGTGCTGTCAAAAAGATACACATGCGCCTTTACATACATTACATTACAGTGGTACAAATATGAAAAATTCATGCTTTTTATCAGGAATAAAAAAAAAGTACATTTTATTCGAATAAAAAAAATTACGATTTGTTTTACTCAGCCACGATATCTTTTACTCACCGATTCGCACTCTCCACGAGCAGGAACTCCGCCAATAGGAGTAGAGTACCGGCTAAAAAAAATGAAAGAAGGAATCGAGATGAATACTGACAATGCATATTGCGGTGTTTACTGGCTTCGAACGACACGTTGACGGAGGGTATACATGTATCGGTATACTCGAGGCCGGTAATGCAAACGTAGAGACCAAGAATATTTCCTTCTCGCGGTGCAAACAGAGCTGCAGAATGGACGATTCGAATGATCGGTGCAAAACATGTTGGAGGGACGCGTATTTCGCACGAATATTCGCACGGTCGTTGAAGACGAGGTCGCAACTCAAACGCAAATAAAGAGTTGATAATAAAAGCAAGAGACTCCGTGTTACAATGTCGGATCGAACGCATTAGAATGTTAATTTGCTTACCTTTCCCATGACGGACATCTCGTCAGGCTCTGATGGACGGATTCGCCTGTTTAATAACCTACGCCTGATTAAGACGACGCCGAGACTCGCAAATCTCTTCGAAATTATTCGGTATCCGTTCAACGCGCGAAATCACTCCTCCCTCCCCTTTTATTCGATTGCCAGACAACCCATTCCACTGTCTGATTCCAGTCTAGGGTTCACGCAGCCAATCGCAATCCACTTTCCGATAGGGACCAGTGCTGTACGATAGGAAAAACCCTCAAGGTTGACATATTCGTAAAATCTTGTTTCGCATGTTTTGCGTTCTAATCGTTTCAGCAAAGATTATTATTTGCTTCAATCGTGTTACACAAGCACGCACATGTAACACATACACGTAATTTTGCAATTGTTACTCCGCTCAAACGTGATACAGTTTCACATGTACATATAATGATGTCAGCAATGAGGAACGTGTTTATATCCCTGTGTTTGCGAAGTTGCAAATAAACAATAATGCGTATTATTTATATAATTAAAAATTATAATTTTCAAACACGAGCCTATCCTACATGTATGCTAATAGGAATATGAGGAATTAAGGATATAATGCGAATGGAAATTGTAAAAACATACAAACCGTTTCTAACAATGAAATAACAAACTTTGAACAGTTTTCCTATTTTTGAACTCCTGACTTCTATAATGTAATTTTCGTTGAATCCTGAAATGCTCTATTTCAACATGATTTTTACCGGGAAGCAATTGTTCTAACACAATGTAAGAAATAATAAAGTTGTACGAAAACATAATATAATTTTGTCGATTTCATCGCAATTGACATTTTGATTGAATTTAAAGAAAGAAATTACAGTGCAGAGGATCGATTTGATTGCGCTTCGATCGTAATTCGATTTTGTTTTTCTGTTTCATAATAATCGGTAATATAACTTATTACATAATAAATAAGGTATTAATAATGCCACTAACTAAGAATAGCATAGACGTGACAATGTTTAATAGTGAAATATCTAACAAATAAATAGTTAAATGAAAATTCGTATCCAAAATTGCAAAATTGGTTGTGCACATTATTATAATAATTATAAAAATTTTAATCCATTACATCAAATATATTTTACGCGAAATTACATATTATTCGTGTGTCTTCCGATCTGTTAAAAGAAATTTGTAGATTCTTATATTAAATATATAGAATAAAAGCTGGGGACCTAAATAGAAAAATACAATCGCAAAAGTTTAGAAATTAATCCCCTTAATTATATAGTTCTTTTTATCAATGAAAATTTAGTCGATTTATGGACACTAAAATACTAGCGCCGCGTAGCGGCGAAACCATGGAACTAATCCTGTTACTGTCCTTGTCCCACGCTATTGCACTCTTTGTCTACGAAAGTGCTGCCATCTAAGCATCTCTTTCTTTTAACTGAAACTAAAAGGATAAATAGGAAAAATCCGATAGATGGCAGTACTTGTGCGAATCTCCGACAGACAAGAAGAGTAACGCTTATGACAGACTTATATTGTACAACAGACAAAGAGGGCAATAGTGTGCAACAAGGACAGCAATAGAATTAGTTCTATTGTTTCGTCACTACGGGACGCTAGTATTTCAGTAAGTCGACTAAATTTTTATTGAAGAAGAAAACTAATTACAAGGATTAATTTCTAAACTCTTAGTAGTTGGATCTTCGTATTTAGACTGCCCGCTTTCTTTTTATATTCTATTTGACGTGTAAGATATGTGTATAAATATTGTTCATTTGGTATTTAATTTCTGACAGACCACGTTCGATATTTGGATTAACATTTTTCGTTTCATTTGTTATTTACCATATCCCGTTCTGTATCTTATTTGTAATTTTACAGAGTCTATTTTATTATTCAAATCATTGTTATGACAATTAAGTAACAATTAAAATGACAGTTAAATAATCTCTAACAAGTGGAGCACAGGAAAGAATTAAATATTGGATATATTAATGATAATATATTTGTAAATATTAGAAGGTATATACAAATCTATTTTACAAAATATTGTTATGCAACAAAGTAAATAAATGTCAAAATAAATTTCCATTTTTAAACATTAAATTTGTATTTTCAAATAATTTCAAGATAATTCAAGAACTTTTATGTTTAATCACAATTATTAAAAATGATGCTTTGGAAATACTTGGAAAAAAGGTTTAATTTAACAAACGAGAAGCTTTTCAATTTTCGATCGAAATTAGCTGCAGTATATGCATTGGCTGGATGGCATATATTGATATTTGTCTTCCTTTATTCAAATGAGAAAAATTTCCCTAATACTCCAGAAAAACGTACGTAATTTAACAGTTTGAATTATATATATTTTGTTTTACATTATTCCTGTATTAAGCAAATTCCAAATCTTCTCAGGAGATGAATTCATAAAGAAAAAACAAGAAACCAAGCAAGCACATGTCATGCGGATTGATGGATTTCACATAGTTGACAATTTAGAAAATGAGAAAAACAAAGCAGACAGTTAACATAGAATAAAGATTAAAATTTAAGAAATTTCCAACAAGTGTATTTAATTTTTGGTTAGAATAAAATAGATTTTAAGAAAAATATTTTTAATAAATTCAGTTTATTAACAAATATACTTTATAAACACAATACTTAGTCAAGTCCTTTCGTTTGTATTACAAATCATTAATAATACACAAGTATAGTAGATCAAGGAAGAGACTGTCGTAAGGCAATTGCTCCAGAAGTTTCTGGATTTAATTCCTTCAATCTTTGTTCCATTTCGCATAACAAAGCTGACCTAAAGAATAATACAATTATTGAATTTACACGATACATTATACACCAAATTATTCTGACCAAAAAACGTGAAACTTATCGAACCTGTATTCTTCATAACGCATGACCACTTCCTCTAATTCTTGCTTATATAATCTAGTAAGCATGGCATTAAAACAATCAAGTTCCGGTAAACGAAAAAGTTCCCACCGCAGTTTGCGATCCAATGCTACTGATGCCCTACTGTATACATATAACCAATGAGGTATTTCTTCATTAAGGTAAGGATTCGCTGGAACTAAAACACTGTGAGAGTGAAAATGCGTGTGGCGCGGAGGTGACACAACGCGCACTGCTTGTATCTCATGAGGATAACACGGGTGCTCGTACTGTGCTTGTCGTGTAATATGACTAAAACAATATAATGTGATATTTTTTTATAAAAACTGTAACATATACTTCAAATTTTTAATTTTTATGGAACTTACTTAACATAATAAACACCGTATTCAGGTGACTCGATTCTTTCCCAGCCCGTAGGCAAACCTTCTTTCTCAAGAGGATGAGACCAATGAGTGGTTTTTGTATTATGATCTATATAGTACTTTCTACCTCTAAGAGTAAAATCCACAGACCATCCAGGTGGTAAAGGAAGTTCTTCTTGCTGTTCGTTCCTAGAACTTGATCTTTCTGATTGGCAACGACTATATCTTTAAAATATAAAACATAAACAAAATATGCAACATCTGGACAATCCTAGAAATGCTGAATACAATACTTCTTTACCCTGTATTTTGACGGTACGGAGAATGATTGTACTCATCGTAACCTGAATCAATGTCAAAAGGCTTATAAGGCATTTGCGGTGTTTGAACTCTATCTAAATGATACTCGGATCCAGCATATTGATTAACATAAGTATGAGATATAGCAGGTGAAGGTCCAGAATGATGCATTGGAGTTGCAGTACGAGATGACATCCCATCCCTTGTACTAGTATTGACAGAAAGACTGGCAAATCTAAAGGAATACATTGCAAGTTATATTTTGACTTTAAATATACCTCGACTATATATATGACTGGGGCATAAATTACCTTTGAGCTAAATCCGGAACAGAACTATTCGGAGTATATTTTCCTTCATGACTTCCTAAACCTACTGCACTCATTGTTGTCTTAGTGTTTCCAAACTTCTGTACCATACTGGGTTGTTGTGGTATAGACTATATAAAAATTAGTTTTTATTCATCTACAGAAATACAATACACGCAGTTCCTATTTACCATGGATGTAGGAATAGTTGGATGATTATTACGATTCCTTGTCCTTCTATTTGGTTCTGTTGTCCATACATTAATAACTAAAAGTCAATGATAATTGTAAAAAAAAAAAGAAAAGAAAATGAATATATATTACATCTCGTAATTCCACGATAATAAACAAACAATTGAAAACAATTGAGAAGTTAAACAACATTAAAGGACAAAAACAGAGATTGGACAATGGTATAAAATGGTTTGTTTTCTCAAAAATTATTTATCACAATAACAACAATAACTTACTTGGCATTTCAGGCGGAGTTTCTTTTTTAACATATTTACCAACAACTCCCTCTTTAATTGTCCTTAAATCCTTATTTTTCCGGGACAACATAATTGGTATAAATACTTGATCGAATGATAAATCGATAAATCTTCGATATTTATAACCTACAGATATGATATTACGTCCACAGCTAGTAAAACTGTATTTCGAACATATAGCAATGTACTTAAAGATGAAAGATTATCCATTTTAAACGTTTCTATAAATTTGCTTGACTTGATATAACTTAAAGTTTGTTAATTAAGTCGCGTTCTTGACACATGCATGTATGTATACTTTTCACTCACGTTACGAATGTTTGTAAGAAACGAGCGAGAACACGTATTACATATATCAAAACATTAAATTTCATTTTCTCCTTTGTTTCTTAATTTTCTCTTTCTTTCTTTCTTTTGCTTTTTTTCTAATTGTACGAGACCGAAAAATTTTAAAAAGATCAATCGTACGTACATTTAATGCTTCGAAAATGATTTACAGCAGTCCATCTTGTTTACCTGTCAACAAATTGTCAATTTGACATACTCCCACAACATGAATTGTAGAGTTCAATAAAATTTCATAAATTAGTAATTACAAGTCAGTGACAACAGAATAAATTTGAAATTCATTTAGTTATATAACTTAGAAATCTTTTTTGTATTTATGTAGATATATAATACACAATAGGTAAGAATTGTGTATTACGTCTTATGCTATGTTCTATTTTTACTTAAGAATATTTATTTTCATAACCTATCTCAATGTGTCAATAGTATATTATGCAACAAAATAACTTAGACAATATATTCATTTGTTTACAAGATCGATATTGTACATTTTTTTCGCTAGGTATATAAGTTATGTCTATAGATATTATGTATATATAATAAAGTAATATATCCTTTTAACTTTTATTGCATCATTATTGTATTTATACGGATATCTCTTTTTCAAATAAGTACTTTGTTGTATAATGAAAGAAAATCTTGCTGTATTTTCGACATCACGCGTGAATATTTTTAGAGATATTATGGTAAAAAATATATATTTCTTTTAAACTGTTGGTAAATGTATGAAGGATAAAGTATCGAAATGTATCTGGTAAATTTTGACAATAAACAAAGTATCTTCGTTATCATTTAAAAATAATCGAATGTTTTTTCGTTCATAGCATCTTGTATTTCTTTTTATAACGTGTGTTATGTTAATTTTTTTTATTTCCCAAGCTAAAAAAAAATTTGCTTACATTAGAATATTCTAGTCGTGTATTCTTTTCAAGCAACAGCTATTTTAGAGTATAAATAATTATTAATCTTATTCAATTACTGCACTTAAATTTATTATACGAATAGCTAACCATTCTTATGTGTAATATGACAAGGATAAATTAATCAACTTTCATTTATGTTACTCTTTTTTACATTCTAAAATCAACTGTACAACTGTTATGTTTCTAACAGTGATTAATATGAGTATCTGAAGTATATACCTATTAAGTCTATTTACAATGAAATCATATCCGCTATATCGATTCGGACTAATCGTATATATTGAGGTTGTTCATTTGTAATTTGCACAAGAAAAGAAAACTAATACAATCGCTAATGATTGCGTTATAACGATAAATATGTATGATAGACTATCACAGTGTAGCTCGCGTTTGTAATCGTAGGATCTCCTATTGTTTTAACCTTTTGATTATATTTGTTTCTTTCTTTGCCGCAAAGTATGGAAGTACGTATTTGCAATGATTTTGTATCCAATTCTTGTCATGCTGTCATACAAATGCAGTTTTTTGCGATATAAAAAAATATTAATATGTACGTCATTAGAATTTCTTACTGTAGTATATTTGGAAATGTACTAAAAACTAAGTTAGCCCAAACATAATAATTATCAAAATTCTTTATTACTGTCGAAAAAAGATGTGGATGGATACTTGCAAATCTCAGAAAAAAGAAAGAAGAAGAAAATAGGCCACGACAAAATATTTTTAATAATCTACACAATGATTATTGATATTTGATTAAGCAGCGCTTAAAAAAATTAGAGAGTAGAAATAAATTAGACATTCATTTAATAAAGTGTCTATTTATGCATATAGAACTCTTATGAATTTATCCGTATTGTTTGTTTTGAGTCACATTACAACATTTACAATAATTATATATTCCAATTTATTTTTGAACTAATTTTCATGAAGTGGAGATAAATAGTATACAATGTAAACAAAGTATGCTATGAGATGAGGTAAAACATAGTTGACATAAAAAGAATGGAAAGTAAAACATAACAAATATGTTAGATGTATTTCTCAGTTACTTCATGAAAATATGAGCAAGCTGTCACTCATTTGTTAACCATCTATTTATTAAGAGCTACTATTGTTTATCATTATTATGCAATGGTAAGAAACTTTAAAAACGATCCCACGTCTTTGCGGTGGCCTGTGGGAGCACAGCTCCGAATAAATCTTATGCATTGTATCTCTATTATTTATTATATTTATAAGCAATGGATATTTTGGTACAATTAAATTTTTTTTATTGTATATTTGCCCTTCGCATCTTTATTTTTTATTTATTTTTTTATTTAAAAAACAACATATTTTTTACGTTTTTTTTTTTTTTGTTTCAGTGAATTGAATCTTATTATTCATTATTCTCGATATGCGACGAGCATACCGTTACGGCTCTCTTTGAAAAAATTTACTCCACTTGCTGCGGGCATGCAGTCAGCACAATGTTAGTATTTAGTAGCACATCGATCTGTACGTTACACGTATTTACCACAGTTTGATGTATTCGTGTATGTGTGAATGTGTAACTTGTATCGTCAATAGTACTATATTTTTATAATATATTGTATTATATATATATTTATATATTTACCTAATTTTATTATGTTTTGTTATAGTTATCATTATCATTAATACGAATATATGATACATTTCAAACAACGCCCCTGCTGGCTCTGTTGGAGGTGAGAATCAAAGTAAGGTGGGTCATGAGAGGACATCAGCCATTTAAAAACTGAAGCAAATGTCACATGCAAAAATTAATATTATAACAATATACTTTGTCTATCTGAATTTACATTTTGATCATCTCCTCCTACCGAGCTCAGCTAAACTTTAGTTAAGAAGGGACTAACATCATCGTATTATGTGCTGACACTGAGTACATTGTACAACTTAAATCATTGCTATTTAAAGAAAAAGGAAAAAAGAAATTAATATACACAATAAAAATATTAGAATTCATCAATTATCATTGCGTCGAAGAAGAATAAAATTGTGATTACTGATTCTTTCTCATTTTTTTTTCTCTTCTCCACTTCGCCCTTTAGGCTAGTAACTAATGAAAGAAATTACATTACGTCAAGAATGCCATATTGTGAGACACTTTGCTCCACTAACAACAGTAATTTTTGCATGTAGTGTATGGACAATCGACGTAAACTAAGGGCTAATGATTGGGCAGCTTGGGAGTGAATTTCCACCTGTAATGATAATACATTTGTTGAATATGTCACACATATTTATAGATTCATTAAATATTAAATTACTTAAGAAATATTAATTACTCACCAGCTCAAGGGCGGGCTCGTGTTGTAGGTGTTGTCGTGGCAGGAAGAGGATTGTTGAAGGTAGCTGTAAGCACATTACGTCGTTCTACTTCCAATTCAGTTAGCTTCCTCCACAATTCGTCCCTTTCCTTTTCCCTTTTTTTCTCCCTGATATTAGAAAATATTTCTATACATAACGTAAAAGCTACTGATGTGTTTTACTTGGTTGTTTTTCGGAAAGAAGAATCTCGTAATAATTATCTCACAGTTTTCATAAAATGAAACGCAACTTACTTTTGCCTTTCAGACTTATAGCTGGCAGTAAGTTCGTCGAAGAGCTTGCTATTCATTTCCATAAATGTTTTTAAAACGTTATAAACAAGAGCTACAATCGTCTGATTCCAGTGTTCCTTGCTAATTCTATACAGTGCTGGGAACATGATTCCCATTATTACATGATTGTTCTCTTCAATTAGGGACATTATATACTCGTTATTCCAAAAGTACAATGCTCTTTCAGCAACCTATAGATAAATTAATCTTATTGTTAAAAAAATTTTAGTGCGTCTTACTGATATCTTGTGCTTTAAAAATTAGTATCCAATACCTGAAAATGTGGCGAGGACACACAACGTGCAATTTGCCTGAATAAAGGTTCTTGTATTTTAACAAATTGGCTAGGTTCTATTACGTCCAAGATTTCTTCAATTTCACCAAGGAACATTACCTCCTTCTGGCTACACGTTTTAGGCCAGAATTTCAGGAGGCCTCGTATAACAGGCTCTGTTAAGGTTGCATCCTTTTCAAGAAATTGTACCACACAATAAGCTAATTGTGCATGATATAATGATAAGCACTTTACTTTATGTAGTGGTAGCAGCACCTATAACAGAACAGTAAAACATGAATGAGAAATATTTTGAAACACATTTTGAAAGTAATATATATAATAATAATAATTTAACAATTTTTTTTATACCTTAACTAAGAACTGCTTGTGCTCAACTTTTAAAGGAAGAGCAAATCCATTTATAATGCTACCCAAAATTTCAAGAAGCTCACCAACTCCATTGAAATGCTCCGTTTCATATACAAACCTACAAAAATAAATAGTTGTAGAGGAAAAATTTATTGTATACATATATATCTTTATATACGCATGAATTTTGTTACTGTATTCATATACCTCAAGAAAATGTTACTGATTTGTTTACGTATAAAGGCTCTAAGACCAAGGAACTTCCCATAAATACGATGCAAAACAGTTTTCAAAAAATCTCTTTCCCTGGGATCTTCAGAATCAAATAACTCTAATAACTATGAACAGATAACAAATGTATATACACAAATACATAACAAGTGAATATATACAAATATACACAATATATAGCGCCATGCATTATAAATTGCAAATTATACCTGTAAAACGAATTTTTGGTCAATAACTTTTTTGCCAATAGTAGGCTGAAAGTCTGAGGATTCAAGAAAGCGTAAAAAGAATTCGTAAACCAATTGCAGATGGGGCCAGCTTGCCTCCAGTGTTGGATCATCCTCCTCTGGATCAAAATCAGGTGTTTCACTAGGTGGTAATGTGCGAAACAGATTTGCAGAAATCTTTAACAAACGTATTATTAGATAGAAAATATTTTGGGAATTAAATCAATTCAGATGTAAGTGTTACTTTTATACCACATTTACCATTTTAATGATTTCAGGATACACAGGCTCTGTAAGGACACCTCGTCCGGCTGTGATGTATTCAACCAATTCATTGAGTGTACTACGTTTAATTTCTTTGCCTTTAAGATCCGCCATAGCATCCATAAAATCAAAGGTCACACAACATTGCCGAAGTTTTCGGATGAACAGATCTTCTTGCTCCGATGGTGTGACATCTGCAACATTTCAATAATCTATTATAATCTATTCAATGCAACATAAATTTTGTTTATAAAATTTTGCAAATTTAATTGATATAGTTATATTACATATGATCGTAAATTATTACGATCATCAATATCGTTATTATATAGCTTATAATATTAATCATTCGCTATGTACAACATCAATCCTAATGCAGGATTGGTAAACCCCGAAGAGTTACTTTTGAGTCAATTTTCGAAATTGGGCTCGAATTCTATCGAGCTTTCTATCTTTTTTTCTTCTTTAAATTAATTCTTTTCTAAATTTTTAATTTTAATCTGAGAGCAATCTGATTTGATCTGTTGACACGAGGCAAAAAATTTGAACAAGGATTTTTACTAGCAAGTAACCGTAAAAAAGGATTAAAAAAGAAAAAAAAAAGAACAAATGGAAAACAGCAATCGTATTTTGGCATTTATTTAATGTATTTCTCGGTTACGAACCACATGTAGATTCCTATTTTGTTATTGTTACCGGCGAATTGTTCAATATCTCAGTTGAGGTTATGTCAAGTTACGGTTTAAATGCGCGCGCCACACGGTATTACGTAGTCGTGTATTGGCAGCGCTGCAAGCAGAATGTAATAATATCTTTAAGCAGCATTCACGCACTACAGTGATCTTTCTTTTTTAATTCCTTGCAGTCGGATGCTACCGCAGCGCCGGCTGCATTTCAAATGCCGAAGTTTAACGTTCAAACTCATTTCTTTGCGCAAAATACAATTTCCCTTATCGTTGCTCCATCTTGAATTTTTAATCCCGATAATCACCTGATAATATTGGAACACGCTATGTGATAAGCATATTTTAAGGAAAGGTAGAGAGGATTGAATTTATTTATCTGTTGCTTACGTTTGACTTTCCTTTTTCTTATATAATTCTTTCTTTTATCCATCGTTGATAATTCGAGTGGTAAAATTATTATATCATTATATATTTCCCTAAACTAGTGTAGGGGGCGAAAACTACGAAAATTCGGAAATTCATTTTGCTTAAACTTCAGCGAAGTTTTGACCCAATTTATACCCTTGCATAATTGATACGCGATCGCGATGTTTGCTGCCACAGCGAGGGAATACACGTAAATCGATATTCAGAAGAAGAATTAATGAACGGAAGAAAGAAAGCTACACGAGAGATTTAGAGAGAGAGAGATAGAGGGGGGGAGGGAATAAGACCTTTTTGTCGGAGACTAGGAAAATCATATATCGAGAGAGGTAACGAAACGACATCTAATCGCACGGCTGCACTCTATCGAGAATATTTAACGAGAAAAATAGCTGCCTCGCGGTATAAATTACCGAGGTCTATTAGCGTGTCTACTCGAGGGGTTGAATGTTCTCCTCCACCACGTTAGATGGAGATTTCATTCATCGGTGCGATAGAAAAGGAGGACAAGAGGCAGAGCACAGGGGGAGGAACTGTGTTTTCTCGCTTTCCTCTTTTTCTCTTCATCCGTCAACCCCACTCTCTCTCTCTCTCTCTCTCTCTCTCTCTCTCT